TCATTCTATTTAAGTAGTCCAAGACAGTTGTAGAGGATGTAGTAACATACTTCAATAAGTGGAGGCATTGTAGTTCGTTGTTGCATCAGAAAGTTTGCGAACTGTTGATCGGAATCCGTTATGGTGGTTTCTCTGTGTAAGAAGTGTTGTTGGATTCTCTCCTTGTAGTCAGGATGGTTCCAAGCAGACCAAGCCAAAGGCAGCAGTTGGTCGCATGCCCAGTTATCGCATGTACGACCGGCTGCACCAGTAATGATATGATAGTTCTGGTCGTCGTTGTCAAGTGCCATTGGTAGACCACAGCGATAGCAAAGCTTGTGTTTGACGAAATTCATATCTAAAGGGCATTGGTTTCGTCTATGTCCTGGCTTCATGCACTTCATACAACAGCCGTTTGTATAACGACATCTGAAAGCCTCATGGTGTTGGATGCCCCTTTGTTTGAAACAATGAACGAGGCATACAGGACAAGAAGTCTTGTTGACAGAAAAGAAGTGCTTGATATCAACGATGACTTTGTTGCTCCAAGACAGACGCTCTGTAATAGTCGCTGCTCGTTCAGCGTGCTGTTTGACGATTAAAGCATTTTGAGCAGAAGTTGCAACCTTAGAACGCTTTGCAACCATGGTCAAGACTTGAGACATTGGGTTGTGTCTCTTCTTATAGTTCTTCTTGTATATACGTTTTGAGCATGATAGACAAGTAAGGGCACCTTGCAGAAGAGGACAAGAGAGAGACTTTCCATCCATGTATTCCGAAATGAATTGTCGAATGCATGTATACTTTGATTGTAGCAATGTCTTCATGTCATCGTTGACATAAGCTGAAGTAAGGTCCCGTTCCTTGTATAGGAGTATAGCTTTAGACTCAAGACCATCTCGTCCAGCTCTCCCTGTCTCTTGTACATAGTCGAGCAGTGTCTCTGGACAGCCGACATCTAGGACTAGACGAATGCTTGGGTAGTCCATTCCCATTCCAAAGGCCTTAGTCGCAACCATGACTTTGCAGTTGCTGGCATCGTCTGCGAACTTGGCAAGACTTTCAAGACGTTCTTCATCAGTAAGGTCACCAGTGTAAGAAATGGCATTTGTGTTAATGATGCCGCCTCTATTGATTGTCTCTTGTAGCTCCTTTACTTCGTCTTTGTAGCGACAGAAGACGACAATCCGGAAAGAGCCGTTTTGGTCAAAGTTGTACAAAGACCAGTTGACCTTCAAGATTCTCTCGAAATGATCATTCACATGAGTCAAAAGGCTGTACTCAATGTTCTTACGAACGGTGTCAGTTCGTATCTTAGTAGGGTTTACGGCGAAAGTCTCCAGTAGTTCATCTTCGTAAGAGAAAGGAAGCGTGGCTGTTAAGAGTACAAACGGAGCCCTCACTTCTGCAAGTCTGTACATCTCGCGAACCCTAGAACGCCAAACGGAGTCAACGACGACAGTATGTGCTTCATCAATGACTATGCGAGCGAGTTTTCCTTCAAGGGCGAGAGAGGAAAACCACTTCAAGCAGTTTGGGTTTACTGCTTGATCCAGCGTCAATATAAGCAAGTTGGGGAAGTTGCTTACTGTTGAGCAGTCAGCCTTGGCAGCCTCCCAATTAGTTTTCACTCTTAGACCTGCAGCTGTAGCCCTGCGAAGCATATCAGACTTCAGAGCGATTAGGGGAACAATGACGACAGTCATAAGAGAGCAAAGATTCATCTTCTCGATATAAGAAGGAAGCAAAAAGGTAAGTGACTTACCAGACCCGGTGGCAGTAACATAAAGCAAAGACAGTCGACGATCCAAAGCTGTAGAGGGATCCAATCCCATACAGTGGAAATCGACCTCCGAGTAAACAATCCCATTTGGGATTGTCTAGCTCCAGGCAGTCATCCAAGTTTGATGACGAAGGCAGAGTCATCCGTCTAGGACCACGAGTGATAATAGGTTTGAGTACTTCTGTTACTGTTGGCTCAGTAATAGAAGAATTTCGCTGTGCCAAAGGGAGCGAATGTTCAACCACAGAAGGAGCTTGGGGTTCTGTGGTTGTTCGCTTTGTTGCCTCTTGGTGGTCTTCTAGTCCAAGAAGACTTTGCCAATTGATTGATGCTGTGTATGCATTGGGCAATACATCTGTGTCCATTGAAGACATCACAGCATCAGAGCGACCATAAATCGAGACAGCGACCTGTCTTGTGTGTCCAGCTTGTGCATCGTAAGTCGAGAGTTGTGCTTGCTGGGGTCCTTCAAGGAAACGCTCCTTGAAGTAAGTAGCCACATCTCGATAAATTCTAAGTCCCATAGAAAGACCAAGGACTTCTTGGAAGTATTTTGATACAACTTCCGATACTCCATTAATAGGGAGTGTAGAGCCATTCTTAAGGAAGACAGAAGTCTTAAGGTCTTCCAATTTGGAGTCGTCATTATAGAGAAGCTCACAGAATAGTTGTTCTGCTGGGCGAATGAGGACAAGGTATCGCAGCAATAGCAAGGAAAGCTGTCGAGGGAGGAAACGAGGCGAGAAGTCTTCCTTGTTGGTCATGTTCCGTTGTTTCCCGTAATGCTTAATGAACATGAGCCGTCCCATGTGAATAAACAATTCACGCTTGTCCTCAGCGGTATTGCGGAATTTCCACTTAGCGAACTCATTGCCTCTTGCAGGCTGACCAGCTCCAATGTGGATCAAGACCATCAAGTACTCTGTGAACTGAGTACAACTTGCACAATATTTGGCAAGCTGATTATGGTCCCAAGGCAAAGACTTTACTGCTTGATCGAATGGGATGTTCTGTTTTTTTTGTTCAAGCAGCTTGCCTTTGATGTCGTCCTCGTTTCCAAGTAAGAACCATCCTCGTTGACTACTGCTTTGTACGATAGTACGAAAGACAGTATGTCTTAATTGAACGCAAGAAGGGTTTTGCAGGAATGAATAGCCCTTTGCGGTAGACAGAAGACGATCAGTCAAGTTATCCAACATGTCTTCCGGAACCAAGTCATCCAAGTCGATATCGACTGTAAGTTCCTTTAAGACTTTTACTGCACGTTCAGAGAGGTTGTTGTATAACGAACGCAAGTCATCAATCCGAATCATTTGCCATCCATTTACAGCCGCAGTAAGAGTTCCAAACGCTTTTTGAGAGGCTCAAAGTAAACTGCACGACCGTTGGAGCCTGGGACTTCATGCAGCTTACATGCCTTGGGGTCAACAAGACTTTGTTTACGACAGACACCCAAGACATCAGCCAAGTAGTCAAAGACAGTTCTACGATCAAGCTTCACAAAGCGAAAGATGCGTTTGTATACTTCAGAGTCTTGATCATAGAAGTCTTCGATGTTGTCAACTTGATCAGGGAAGTCCGTCTGCATCAAGTGAAATTCGACTAAGGCAACCAGTCGGCGCGAAAATGAATCGCGCCAGAATTGGTGCCAGAGCGTAAGCTGAGGGATAAGACCCATCAGAAGACAATAGATATGACGCAAGGAATTGATTGATACTTGTTTGTTGATATCAATCGAGGTGGGGAATTGTACCATGAACAAAGATTTGAGAAGTTCGTGTACCTTGTTGAAGACTTTCTGCTGAAGTTCTGGGGTTTCTCCTTCAGCAACGAACAACTGATAAGTGCTCTCAACATCATCCACCTTTCCCTGTACTGCTTGTTATCTCTGTGGTGCTCAAACACAGGATAAGCAGTAACGCGTCGAGCATAGTCCTTAAGAGTATCCTCTTGCTCCAAGGGACGAAAGCCATCGTTGTATGCTGAGTTGTCTTGAGTCGAGCGGAACAACTTAAGCAATCCACGGTCCATTCTCTTCATGATTTTGTCTGCAGCAAAGAAGTAAAGCTGTATAGCTGCATGCAGACGAGAGAATGGCAAAGAAATGCCAATTGGAGGAACGTAACAACGCAGACGAATTCCTCAACTGAACCCAGTTCTTCAAGCGCTTCAGGCCAACGGAAGCGATGAAGGAAGAGACTTCTGTTTCTGGCATCTGGCTCAGAAGTGTCTTCTGGGTTTTGGTCTATAGCAAAGACCTTAGACTCATTAAGGTAAGAGTCCAATTCCAAGTCCTTGTCGTCAAAACAGTAATACGAGACTCGGACGACTGCGCACGAAAGTTTACCTTGAAAATACTTTATTGCGCCAATGGCGAAAAGAGTTTGTGCTTGTACACGACCAACAAGCGAAGAGTATCCAGTAGCCTCAGACAGATGATGTTTACCCCGGAAGTGGTTGTATAGAGTTCCCTTAGAACCACAAAGATAGTCTTGCACTTCAAGCATTCGTATGCGTTAAGACATACGGGTAGACCAGCAACTACCTCATAGACATTACTTTGCGAAGAGTAATGAGACTTAAGACTATCCAAACGCAAGAAACGAATGTTCTCCAAAGTAAGATGTAAGTCTTTAGACATCTGAAGCTTATGCTTTTTCAGATGGCTCGCAAGCTTTTCCATGGGAATAATTGACGAGCAAGTATTGCAAATGAGCAAAGGACCTTGAATAAGCTTAAGGCCAAGGGAAGACAGTTCCAAGGCCAAAGGTCCTACCTCGTCGTTACCAACGTCAGGGCAAGATGTCGGCACCCAGCGGAGTTCCTCAGAGTCATCAGCCGTATCCATTAATGGAATAGGAGCAGTTGTTTCGTAATCGTCTATATCAGAAGACGAGAGAGATTCGTCAGAGCACGATTGGTCTTCTTCGACGATAGAAAGACATTCAGCTGGCAAGGTAGGCTGCTGATTGTTGTCACCCGTTGTTGAACAAGTGAGTGTGTGTCGATGAAGCTAGCACACTGTTTCGCATGGGCTCTGAAAGTTGCCGGCCATTTGGCAGAAAAGCCACAAGTACAGTAAACAAGTTGACTTCCGTGTTCTTGGAGACAGTAATGGGGATAGACTTGTCTCCATCTGGGATGTTTACTGTGACCGAGAGTTGGTGCTTTCTCTGATATGAGAGCGAAGCTTGGAATCGGACTCGAAAATAATTGCACACTTTTCGCACGACATTTTGGTAAACAAAGAGGACTGTATTGATTTGCTGTATAGTAGTATATGAAACCGTCCATATGACTTTGATGGTTTTATACTCTGTTTTTGTGACTGCTATACGTCCTTGTAACACACGTAGAAGAGTCTGGAACACTTTGGAAGGCCAAAGGATAGAGGGAGAATTGCATAATATTGTTTAGTCTACTACTTTAAAATTTACAACATTTCCGAGCAAAAATCATGTTGGTAAGTAAAATATAAGCTTAATAAGATAGTATTGAGTAAGACTTTTGTCATTTTTAGTTTGTAACATTTGCAACATTGTCAACATTTTAAGCTTTGCAACATCTTAATTAGTCTTATGTAAGCTTAGTAAGATAGTTATAAGCGATATTAATGTTATTTGTAACATTACAACATTTGCAACATTAGCAACATTCCTTCCTTAGACATATCTTATTAAGTGTAGTCGAAAGCAGTAATATTGTAAGAAACAATATTTCTACAGTTTACAACATTTGTGACATTGACAACAATTACCAGTCTTAGTAACACAGTAATAAGAAACATCTTGAGTGTCAACAACATTTACGATATTAACGACATTCCCCTAGCCTTACTAGTGTTATTGGTACTCATTCATGATAGTCTTAGTCGTAGTAACGGTATTCAGTAACATTAGATACCCCCGAGACCCATTCTGACCTTCATTGCCCTACATAGTGCCATAGAGCTTTTTTTGTCATAGATTTTATATGTGAAAAAAAGTGTGAATTTTGGTTAATTTGGTAATTTTTAATAAATTGTGCAAATAAATGAAATAGAAGTATTGCCTGGGTTAAGACGAATATAATTATATACTTTTCGTTTACTGAAGATGCCTCAATGAGGAGTTATTCGTGTTCAATTTTGGCAAAAATACAGCTCTTTTCCAGCTGCAGCAAAACCTCTTACTACTCACTACCCTATTACCAGGTAGACACTTCTCCCTCAGTCAGTAAAGCAATCCTTAAGTATTCTCATACCCACCAGCTGTGCTGGTCATAGACTGCGACTGACCGGATTCGAACCCTCACCCACGTACCATGTAATCGGACACCCAAGACCTTCAGACCCACTACGCCACGGACAACCCTTCCAAATTTTCTTCTTCATTATCTTCTATTCTACATGCAATTATTCTTTTTGTTTATGAACATAAGTTGTAGCAATAGTTTGTGCAATTTGACTGGTAATTAAATCAGTAAATATACATAAATTAACGAGTATAATCGCATAATTAAATCAATATTGATGTTTATTGTTTTGTTTTTCTTTTTATTCTTTTTTTACTTCTTTTTCATTGAATTATGCCTATTATGTCAAATTTAGGCATCCTTTACAATAATTTATAGTTATTATTCAAATTGCATTAAATAAATATTTCACTTTGTGACAAAGTTGCAATGTCGAAACTTTTATAGTAATTAAAATAGCATTTTACAAGAATTATGCAAAAGAACGAAAGCTGTATCATGTCTAGTTATCGAGATATAGTTTATTATTTATTTCGTTGATATTTATTATTCTTTAAGTATTTGCGTATAGATTAACGCAGTTCGTTGAGGTTCATTAATTTACAGCAACTTTCCGCAGCTCGTTATTAATTTCTCGTTTAGTGCACTGTTACGTAGTTCATTACTACTTTACTTCCTGTGTGTTTCTGTGATTCGTTATTCTTTCCTTTACTGTAATCCTCCGTATTACGTTATTTATTCTTCATTTACTGTATCTTTCCGCAGCTCGTTAAGTCTCCACAGTACTGTAATAATCTCTTATTTATTTAACGATCATTAACGTAGTTCTTTAAAAATACAGAGTGCCACAAGATTCGAACCCGGTCACTGAAAACCTTAGACAATCCCACTTCAATCCCAAAATCCCACCGACAATCCCACAAAAAAGGAGAAGGTCGAAATTCGAACCTCGACAGGGATCCAATCCCATACAGTGGAAATCGACCTCCGAGTAAACAATCCCATTTGGGATTGTCTAGGTAACAATAAGGTAACAATCCAATCCCATTTACTCGCAATCGACACTAAATGGCGTGCGGCCTAGATATAGGTGCCAGAGCGTAAGCTGAGGGATAAGACCCATCAGAAGACAATAGATATGACGCAAGGAATTGATTGATACTTGTTTTGTTGATATCAATCGAGGTGGGAATTGTACCATGAACAAAGATTTGAGAAGTTCGTGTACCTTGTTGAAGACTTTCTGCTGAAGTTCTGGGGTTTCTCCTTCAGCAACGAACAACTGATAAGTGCTCTCAACATCATCCACCTTTCCCTGTACTGCTTTGTTATCTCTGTGGTGCTCAAACACAGGATAAGCAGTAACGCGTCGAGCATAGTCCTTAAGAGTATCCTCTTGCTCCAAGGGACGAAAGCCATCGTTGTATGCTGAGTTGTCTTGAGTCGAGCGGAACAACTTAAGCAATCCACGGTCCATTCTCTTCATGATTTTGTCTGCAGCAAAGAAGTAAAGCTGTATAGCTGCATGCAGACGAGAGAATGGCAAAGAAATGCCAATTGGAGGAACGTAACAACGCAGACGAATTTCCTCAACTGAACCCAGTTCTTCAAGCGCTTCAGGCCAACGGAAGCGATGAAGGAAGAGACTTCTGTTTCTGGCATCTGGCTCAGAAGTGTCTTCTGGGTTTTGGTCTATAGCAAAGACCTTAGACTCATTAAGGTAAGAGTCCAATTCCAAGTCCTTGTCGTCAAAAACAGTAATACGAGACTCGGACGACTGCGCACGAAAGTTTACCTTGAAAAATACTTTATTGCGCCAATGGCGAAAAAGAGTTTGTGCTTGTACACGACCAACAAGCGAAGAGTATCCAGTAGCCTCAGACAGATGATGTTTACCCCGGAAGTGGTTGTATAGAGTTCCCTTAGAACCACAAAGATAGTTCTTGCACTTCAAGCATTCGTATGCGTTAAGACATACGGGTAGACCAGCAACTACCTCATAGACATTACTTTGCGAAGAGTAATGAGACTTAAGACTATCCAAACGCAAGAAACGAATGTTCTCCAAAGTAAGATGTAAGTCTTTAGACATCTGAAGCTTATGCTTTTTCAGATGGCTCGCAAGCTTTTCCATGGGAATAATTGACGAGCAAGTATTGCAAATGAGCAAAGGACCTTGAATAAGCTTAAGGCCAAGGGAAGACAGTTCCAAGGCCAAAGGTCCTACCTCGTCGTTACCAACGTCAGGGCAAGATGTCGGCACCCAGCGGAGTTCCTCAGAGTCATCAGCCGTATCCATTAATGGAATAGGAGCAGTTGTTTCGTAATCGTCTATATCAGAAGACGAGAGAGATTCGTCAGAGCACGATTGGTCTTCTTCGACGATAGAAAGACATTCAGCTGGCAAGGTAGGCTGCTGATTGTTGTCACCCGTTGTTGAAACAAGTGAGTGTGTGTCGATGAAGCTAGCACACTGTTTCGCATGGGCTCTGAAAGTTGCCGGCCATTTGGCAGAAAAGCCACAAGTACAGTAAAACAAGTTGACTTCCGTGTTCTTGGAGACAGTAATGGGGATAGACTTGTCTCCATCTGGGATGTTTACTGTGACCGAGAGTTGGTGCTTTTCTCTGATATGAGAGCGAAGCTTGGAATCGGACTCGAAAATAATTGCACACTTTTCGCACGACATTTTGGTAAACAAAGAGGACTGTATTGATTTGCTGTATAGTAGTATATGAAACCGTCCATATGACTTTGATGGTTTTATACTCTGTTTTTGTGACTGCTATACGTCCTTGTAACACACGTAGAAGAGTCTGGAACACTTTGGAAGGCCAAAGGATAGAGGGAGAATTGCATAATATTGTTTAGTCTACTACTTTAAAATTTACAACATTTCCGAGCAAAAATCATGTTGGTAAGTAAAATATAAGCTTAATAAGATAGTATTGAGTAAGACTTTTGTCATTTTTAGTTTGTAACATTTGCAACATTGTCAACATTTTAAGCTTTGCAACATCTTAATTAGTCTTATGTAAGCTTAGTAAGATAGTTATAAGCGATATTAATGTTATTTGTAACATTACAACATTTGCAACATTAGCAACATTCCTTCCTTAGACATATCTTATTAAGTGTAGTCGAAAGCAGTAATATTGTAAGAAACAATATTTCTACAGTTTACAACATTTGTGACATTGACAACAATTACCAGTCTTAGTAACACAGTAATAAGAAACATCTTGAGTGTCAACAACATTTACGATATTAACGACATTCCCCTAGCCTTACTAGTGTTATTGGTACTCATTCATGATAGTCTTAGTCGTAGTAACGGTATTCAGTAACATTAGATACCCCCGAGACCCATTCTGACCTTCATTGCCCTACATAGTGCCATAGAGCTTTTTTTGTCATAGATTTTATATGTGAAAAAAGTGTGAATTTTGGTTAATTTGGTAATTTTTAATAAATTGTGCAAATAAATGAAATAGAAGTATTGCCTGGGTTAAGACGAATATAATTATATACTTTTCGTTTACTGAAGATGCCTCAATGAGGAGTTATTCGTGTTCAATTTTGGCAAAAATACAGCTCTTTTCCAGCTGCAGCAAAAACCTCTTACTACTCACTACCCTATTACCAGGTAGACACTTCTCCCTCAGTCAGTAAAGCAATCCTTAAGTATTCTCATACCCACCAGCTGTGCTGGTCATAGACTGCGACTGACCGGATTCGAACCCTCACCCACGTACCATGTAATCGGACACCCAAGACCTTCAGACCCACTACGCCACGGACAACCCTTCCAAATTTTCTTTCTTCATTATCTTCTATTCTACATGCAATTATTCTTTTTTGTTTATGAACATAAGTTGTAGCAATAGTTTGTGCAATTTGACTGGTAATTAAAATCAGTAAATATACATAAATTAACGAGTATAATCGCATAATTAAATCAATATTGATGTTTATTGTTTTGTTTTCTTTTTATTCTTTTTTTACTTCTTTTTCATTGAATTATGCCTATTATGTCAAATTTAGGCATCCTTTACAATAATTTATAGTTATTATTCAAATTGCATTAAATAAATATTTCACTTTGTGACAAAGTTGCAATGTCGAAACTTTATAGTAATTAAAATAGCATTTTACAAGAATTATGCAAAAGAACGAAAGCTGTATCATGTCTAGTTATCGAGATATAGTTTATTATTTATTTTCGTTGATATTTATTATTCTTTAAGTATTTGCGTATAGATTAACGCAGTTCGTTGAGGTTCATTAATTTACAGCAACTTTCCGCAGCTCGTTATTAATTTCTCGTTTAGTGCACTGTTACGTAGTTCATTACTACTTTACTTCCTGTGTGTTTCTGTGATTCGTTATTCTTTCCTTTACTGTAATCCTCCGTATTACGTTATTTATTCTTCATTTACTGTATCTTTCCGCAGCTCGTTAAGTCTCCACAGTACTGTAATAATCTCTTATTTATTTAACGATCATTAACGTAGTTCTTTAAAAATACAGAGTGCCACAAGATTCGAACCCGGTCACTGAAAACCTTAGACAATCCCACTTCAATCCCAAAATCCCACCGACAATCCCACAAAAAGGAGAAGGTCGAAATTCGAACCTCGACAGGGATCCAATCCCATACAGTGGAAATCGACCTCCGAGTAAACAATCCCATTTGGGATTGTCTAGGTAACAATAAGGTAACAATCCAATCCCATTTACTCGCAATCGACACTAAATGGCGTGCGGCCTAGATATAGGTAAGTGTAGTGGTTAGGTTACAATCATTCTTTATTTTAAGTACTAGGCGGCCGAAAGCGATGCGACGCGATAAGGCTAAAAAGCTACTAAATAATGTTCACCCGATATCGCGCCGACAAGTATGTAGGCGCGGTACTGGCTTTTACTAATGGTAGCCTCTGAAGGTTACCAACAGGTACAATTGAGTACCGCGCCTACAGGAGTGTTGACGCGGTACTGTCTGATATCACTAGTCTTAGGGTTTAACTATTCTGTTACTACTTCTGAGTACCGCGCCTACAGTGTTGGTCGCACGGTACCGTCTTTTCACACTAGTGAGACACAATTGCCTATTAACAAGTACTGTTTCGAGTACCGCGCCTACAGTGTTGTTCGTACGGTAACTAAACCCTATGACTAAGACTGCTTTGATGTAATGTTGCTTATGACATGGAAAAGCGCTCAAACTTAAATAGCCAATGAAATAGGTTTGCGAACCTTAAAAGACCTTAAATTATAAGAGATTATGTTTAAAACATTACTCTTTTTTGTAAAATATCAAATAAGACTACAAGAATACTAATTGTAGCAAATTTTTGTTACATATTTAATAGTATATCTAAAAATAGTTTAATTACCGCCAAATTTTTCCTTCATTGTTTTTGATTAAAATTAATTTTTTTGTCAACGAATACAAAAAATACCACAATATAATGAATAATCTGTGAACAGCTTTATATTAAAAACCGTACTTTACGTCACAAAAAATAATCAAAATATTAATCTGTTGTAATGATTAGTCTAAGAATGTGATTATTGAATGTATTATTTAGACCTTGAAATTGAAGATTCTTTTCTTTTGCAAATTTATTTTATTATTACGTCATAGCTTATCACAGAAATTCTAAATGGAAGGTTTGGATTCGTAATCCTAAGACATAGCTAACTGTAATAACCACATATAGTACCGCGCCTACGACGATGTTGGGGCGGTACCGTGTTTGCACATCAATAGTTATCTAATACCTATGATACTGGTATCCGCCGACAGTAGTGTAGGCGCGGTACCGTCCCAAATGTCAGTAGCAACTAGTTATGTGACATAAGCGAGAAGTTTCGGTATTCCTAGACCTTTCTTCGCTTATTTTGCTTCGTAACCGAATATAAAACTTCAAAGCGCTGTAACTCCGTCAATAGTGCGGCGATTAACTTTTGCTTTAGCATATGACGCTAATATTCATAAACGATTACGACGCACAATAGAAATAAAAAATCGCATAGCTTTCTCGTCTTCTACGCAAACCAAAATTAATCGCAAAAAAATACCGCGTCCTAACACAGTCTTGTCAGTCAATACAAAAATTGTTTTGCGAGCCTTCTCGACCAATGCCGTATTCTGCCTTAAGCGAGAAAAAAAATTATTTTTCAAGTAATTTCCGGATACTAAAAAATAAAATGTAAATAATAAAAAATAAAAAATAAAAAATAAAAAATAAAAAATAAAACGCAAAAAATAAAAAGGAAATAACAAAGTAAAAAGTACAAAGTAAAAAAATAAAAATAAAAGTAAAAATAAAATAAAAATAAAAATAAAAAATACAATAATACAATAAAATAAACAGAACAGAACAGAACAGAACAGAATGATTAGGAATGCAAGTTAGTATGAAAGGTAAAGAGATATGAAAGGCAAAGAGAGGGGAAAGCAAAAGGAGAACTAGTTAGATGGATATACCTTGGTAGTGGTAAGTGCCTAAATAAATTAAAAGGATTGCTTAATGTAGGGTGAAATGGAAGAAGGGGCATGAGAAGCTCACATGGTCCAGTGGTCAAGACTCAACGTTGTGGCCGTTGCAACCCAGGTTCGATTCCTGGTGTGGGCATAGCTTTTCTTTTCCCTATTGGTTCGCGTGTCTGGTACAGCTTGCTGTTACGCGACAAAGTGTGCACTCAAACATCGGAGAAAAGCAAAAATCGTGTAGCAAGAAAGCCTACGGGCGAGAAAAGAACGGGCTGTTGTGGGAATCGAACCCACGACCACCATCACCCTAAGATGGTATCATACCACTAGACCAAACGGCCGTCTTCACACATTCTGCCACGCTGTACATACATTACCGTATCGTTTCCACGTACTTTAGCGTTTCTCTCAACATCAATTCACTTTACTGAGATCACTACTCAATATCGTACTTATTAGATCACTTGGCTGGTTGCACGCTGTTCGCTGTGCAGCATCAAAATTCTTTCCGTACTACCGCATTCATTCTGCAGACAGCTTTGTCGGCAGGACAGCAATACAAAGAATTAAAGCAAATTGACAACCACCGGTACACGGTACACGTACAACGACTGCTGCCCTTCCCATTTCCATTTGCCTTTGTCTTTGTCTTTGTCTTTGTCTTTGCCTTTGCCTTTGCCTTTGCCCTCTGACATCCTCTCGCTTACTCTACACGCGGCGATCACACAATCGCTACGCGTAATCACCTTTTGTCAATAATAGCACATACGACAGGAAACGATACAGCAAGTTCAACTACCCTACCAACAAGAGGCGGGCGGAAATACAGCACAGAGAAAAAAGAAATAAAGCAGTCGCTAGCTTCTGCAAGCGATCCCGTCCCTTGGGTGGAATAGAGAGGCTTATGAGGGCAACTGATATAGAACGAAAAAGCTTGTATTGAAATGAACTGTGTAAGTGGAGAAAAGAGGAGTGAGGAGGGGCGGAAAGGAGTTTGGAGCTTAGAGTTTAGAGAGGCCAAGGTGAGGACAGAGGCAACAGTGGCCGTTTGGCTAGTGGTATGATACCATCTTAGGGTGATGGTGGCCGTGGGTTCGATTCCCACAACAGCCCAATCTTTTAGCTCCGTCCCTGCTTTTCAGTTTGTCTTTATGGGAATTGGATGACATTGTTCGGATATCACTAAAGCTTCTTAGCGGTGGCAATGCGGCGACCAGTGATATGGCAAGGAGCGGAAAACCTTTAAAAAAACAGTATACTAGGAACCTGAGACGGTTGTTCAGCGAAGATGCTTTAAGTGACGCGATCAATTAGCGAACAACGCGTGTTACTCCAGCCGAAGAATTACACGGAAAAAAGAACGCGTAACAATGCATTACTGCTGCTCTGACAATCACGTTTGAGTCATGCCAATATGGAGGATTCCGAGGGTTTCCCTTGGAGCCATTACACAACCACTGAACCATCGTAGAGCTTACATACAGATATGCTTCGTGGATCACGGATTGCCGGTGTTCGGCTTCGCTGGCGTACTGCTCCATATACTTGACCGGCGTTTCCCAGTCCGCGTGCTGGTCTTTGTCCGTGTATCCGTTGGCTTCAAGCCAGCTGAAAGCAAAGAGAACAACAAAAGAAGACATGACCCCTAAGCGACTTGAACGCTTGACTTTGAGATAACACCGTGGTGCAGCACCTCTTTGGAATCTCACACTCTACCGACTGAGTTAAGGGGCCTTGGTCATCAACCCCTTTCCTTTGAGATTTAGTTTTATTTTTAGTTCACTTTTTACGACTCTTGTCCTTTGCTCATTACTCCTGCAGCTACCCTCTTTACTCGCCCCAACACCTCTCTATCTTCTATCGCTACGCACATTCTTTTTCACTGACTGGTGCTACGTTGCCGATGACGATAGAACAATTTTACAATAGATTAAATGTTAAGTTTATACAATAGAATATAGTGTATTCTATTACAGTAGAAAGAAAAGAAAATGGAAAATTGAGTTGAATTGAGCTGAATTGATTAAACTATATTGAATTGAATTGAGCTGAATTGAAAAAGCAAATTTAGTGAAATAAAATAAAATAAAATAAAAAAAAGAAAAGAAAATAAAGAAAAGAAAAGAAAATAAAATAAATAAAATAAAATGAAATGAAAGAAAATATAAATGAAATGAAGAGCGAGCAAAAAGATGAGTAAAATAGCAAGATATCTTTGATGAATACATGCGAGCAAAAGATGAGTAAATAGCAAGCTTGAGCCCCTTCTATTCACAATAAGAGGACCAAAAACCAGCTAGTCCCGCCGGGGATCGAACCCGGGACCTTCTCCGTGTGAAGGAGAAATCATACCACTAGAACACGGAACTCAGTCTTCTATTGTCCGGTCCTACTCACAGTACAAGTAGCCGTAAGCCTCAAACGAACGCCGGTTTTGGTTTCTTGTTTGGCTTTTTCGGTTCCCGCTCAAATCAACGAACCGTAATGTCTCGTTTTTGCGCTTCTAATGCACGGGGATTCATTGACTTTCACTCTATCGCGTTTTGCTTCCGGTGGCTCGTGTTCTAATCAGCTCGTGTCGAGTCCTCATTCGGCTTTCTGCGGAAAAACAAAGAGGAGGTAAGAAATAAGAACTCGGAACTCGAACGGGGAAGACAGGGTAGTATGGGCTGAAGATGTGATGTTGAATGCGGTCTATGACGAGAAGGGTATTCGTCGCAAGTCTTGTGCCGTAGAAACGGAAGAATAATCAAACACAAAGAACTATGGATGAGGGATGTACTACGATGGTAGAGATTTTACGAGCCAGTCCCGCTTAGCTCAATCGGCTTAGAGCGTCCGGCTTTTAGGACACGATAGTCAGGTGACCGGAAGGTTGCGAGTTCGAGTCTCGCAGTGGGAGATACTTTTCCCATGGCGGGAAAAACTTGGGGCATGTCGATGCGGGCCGAAGGTTGAATGCTGGGCGCCGCCGTATTACATTGGAATGCCTTCACTTCAAGTATACTGTTTGTGGGAACACGCAAACAATCCTGATGGAAACCAGCACGTAAAGGTTTGTGTTGAGGCAGCGTGAACTTGGAGGACTATTTGAGGGTAGAGACATGGTGGCCGTTTGGCTAGTGGTATGATACCATCTTAGGGTGATGGTGGTCGTGGGTTCGATTCCCACAACAGCCCTTTTGCCCGGCTACGGGCGTGCGTGTTGCCTGTTTACAATTTGAGCCGTTTCCGTCCATGGTGGATGGCCTGGTCGTGCTGTCATGATCTGCCTGAAGTTGCCTACACTCGGCAGAAACAAAGCAAACAGTCCTGTCGGCAGGAAAACCTTAATGACGAAGTGGGGTTGAACCCACGCTCACATATGTGAACTAGCACGCTCAGTTCCTGAAGCTAGCGCCATAGACCACTCGGCCACTTCGTCCTAACGCGTTCTGTTTCTCTGCTCCACCTCACCAGGGTAGAAGGCGATGTATGCGGAAAACCACACGCTGAAAACCCACACACATGGAACATGGAACATGGAACAACACGGCGCAACGTAGAGAGAGGACGAAAGAAGAAGCATTGTCGAGATGAAACTCGGTCTAATGGCCTGCGTTAGTTCTGCCAGTCTGCCAGGCTCGCAAAGTCGCAACCCGCATCTTCCATACGTCTGGCGGATTCGGCGATGCTTGCGC